CGCCCAATCGACGAGCCTCGACAGGCCGAACCTCACCTGAAAGAGCTAGGGGTTGAACCTCGCCAACAGGCTCAAGATCGCCGACCACGCGAACCTCGCCAGAAAGAACAGTCGGCTGAACTTTGCCAACAAGCTCAAGTTCGCCAGGTGGCTGAGCTCCGCCAAATTTGCCAACTCAAGCAACTTCGCCAGTCAAATGGACTTCTCCAAAGACGCAATTGTCAAGAGAAGCGAGCTTCCGATGACTGGGATCTCTCGGCAGCAACTGTTAACATGACAGGAAAGTGCAAGGCGAAGAATTCAGACTCCTTGCCTGGACTGAAAGATGCCTCCATTGAACCTGAGAACATCTACTTGCACACTCGAGCAAGAAAGGGGGTTGTCATCTCACTCGATTACCGACACTTGGCTGGTATTTCTGATGAGGATGACGATGCTTGCTCGACAGTGGCAATGCCCCAAGCCTCTAGCTCAGTTCAGGGCGCGCACGCAAATGTGCACGACCGACATCCCTGATAAGCTATCCAAGTGATTCAACGAGCAACAAACAGCCATCAACTCTATGAAGGAGATGTTGGAGCAGCTTCTGAGCGAGAAGAAGAAGAGAGGACTTCGCAGACTTCGCGAAAATCCTCGAAGCACAAAGAGCGGGTGCCTACTACTTCTCACTCCTCATCCGAGTCATCTCGAGTCATCTGGAGGGGCGTCATCTTCGAGTCATAATCCAAGAGACAAAAGGCTCGACGAGTTCCAAAGTCAACTCGACGCCTTGAAGCTCTAGAACCACATGAACAAGCTGGGGGTTGTCAGACCATATCAAATCGAATGAGATATAGTCTCCTACCCGACGAAATTTAAGTCACTGGACCTCCTGCAGTTCGATGGAAAGGGTTCTCCTACCCAGCACATTTACTACTTCCAGACGCAAACTGGACACATAATGGGAAACAATCCCATTATAACTCGACTTTTCATTGGTACCCTCAAGGGAGTCATTTTTGAATGGTTCCGCAGATTAGAGTCTGAATCCATCACTTGCTAGAAAGACATGGAAAGGCTCTTCACGGCCAAATTCTTCGACGATGACACAGAAGTATCTATGGCCACTTTGCTAGTTGTAAAGCAGAGGAAGACAGAGTCTGTAAGTAACTTTATCAAGATATTCAGAAATCTATCGCTGCATTCCCGCGATCGGGTTTCTGAAACCACACTCGTTGATATGTGCCGGAACAATCTCTCCAACATTCTGTCCAATATGGGCGCTGTTGAAGCTCGCTCATGAAAAGACTTAATCCGTCAAGGAGAATAAATCAAGAGCATGCTCAAGCGTATGGATGTTGATGAGCCATATGAATTTTGAGGTGATGACCAAGATGCCTTGGTAGTGAAAACCACTCCCTCATCCAAACCCTCTTCAAAACATAGGGACAATGCTTTGAAGCACAAAAAGCCCTTCAAGAATCCCATGATGGCATCTGTGGAGCTCTCCAACTCGGATCTAAACTGTGGGACCGACTACGAAGACTTGGCTACCATTAGCCAAAGATGATCGGTGACGCTTATATGCGTCAATTGTCGGAGGACCTGCATCCGACGGTGCTCGAATGGGCAATGTGTTAGCACCAAAGAGGATTTCTTCATTCACTCCGATAAGTATATAAGTATAACCTGATTCTTCCTTCACTCCGACAAGTATACGAGTATAAACTGCTTCTTCCTTCACTCCGACAAGTATATGAGTATAAACTTCTTCCTTCACTCAGACAAGTATACAAGTATAAACTGCTCATTTTCCTCCTACTAGGTGCATGAGGCTAAACTGCTCCATTTTCCTCCCACTAGGTGCATAAGGCTAAACTGCTCCATTTTCCTTCAACTGGTGCATGAGGCTAAACTGCTCAATTTTCCTCTAACTGGTGTAGGAAGCTAAATTGCTTCATTTTCCTCTAACTGGTATAAGAGGTTAAACTATTACCTACACTTACCCTACGGTCAAACTTTCCTACAATTTAGACCAAAGCCAAAATCCCTTCTCGATTCATTCCACGAACGAGGTCCACCAAATTGAGCGATCAAACCTTTAACCAGTTAGAATCGGCTCAAACTCCCACTCGATCAAACCTTCAGATGGTTAGGGCCGAAGCCACAATCCCCCGTCAGTCCTCTTCAATAGGATGGCGAGACCCCAAAACTATCACGTTAATAATCACCTCTGATAGTCCCCTCCAAATTTCCTCCGTCGATCCTCTCCAATAGGACGACAGAACCTCTCTCACTGTCACATTAACATTATCACCTCTGACAAATATCAACTTACCAATCCTCTTTAATAGGATGGTAGGTCCTTATAGTCGCTCCGATCGTGACAATCCCTATCACGTTAATGATTACCTCTGATAGTCGGCTCCATCATTCCCGCAAATGACGTTGTCTAGATAGTAACCTACCATGCGATGTGCTACTATTCAGATCAGTCGTCACACTCATACATCCCTGAACAACTTGATCTTTTCCAAGCGTTCTAATATTCTTATAACCATCGATGGGTAGTAGCCTATCATGCGATGTGCTACTATAACAATCAATCATCACACTCATACATCTCTAAACGATTCGATTATCCCAACACCGTTGTTCCCGCAAATGACGTTCGTCGATAACGACCTACCAAGCGGTAAGTCATTATTTGGACCCCATCTTGGTCGCGCACACAGATGACCATTTAGGTTAGGCTAAGTTGTTAATATTTAACGACATGACATTACCTAATTACGACTTAACGATTGTAATTAACCTAACCGGACACCTCGAACGGCTAAGGGTAGAGAAGAAATTCTAACATTAAGTCTAAAAAAAACTTCTCGACAACTCATCATACTGAGGGGTAGTATGGCTAGCCAGATTCAAACGATAATCAGTAAAGACAAGTCAAACTCGTGGATAGCTGAGGGTTTGCTAAAAATCCTAAGTGACGATCATTAGCTGTAGGTCTTTAAGATCCAAAGTATTCCAAACTTTATGCAACCTGATTCGGGTCTGAAAACTTTGGAGGGGGTTCTATAGGTAATAAAAATTGTCTTTATCCCTAGCAGATATAATTCAAAGCAGGCTTCAGTTCTTTTTATCATTTTTGGTGAGAAACGGACATAAACACAGATATCTCTCAAAACGTAAGGAATTTAGCGAAACGGATGAAGCAAACCAAACCTTATGGGTAGGTTTGGTCGGCTCCGTCTCGTTGAAATAGTCGATTTTCATATATAATTCGTCCAATTCCGACTTACGATTTGAAAGTTATGACCTATTCTTAGATGCGTGTTCTGAAGCTCGCCTAAAGGTCTGAAGCTTGCCTGAAAAGGCTAAAGTTCGCCTGTAAGGAAGTCCATCTGCAAGGCTAGAGCTCGCCTGAACATTAGAGCTCTCCCGAACTAAGCGAAGCTCGCCTGCACAGCTTCGCCTACGAGGTTCGCTCGCATAACTTCGCTTGTCAACACTTGGAGCTCACCTACATAGCTCAGCCCGCCTGACAGCTTGAAGCTCGCCTGCATGGCCCAGGCTCGCTCGAAGGCCAAGCTCGCCTGATAGCATTGAAGCTCGCCTGAATGAGGTTCGCCTACATAGGCTCACCAGCAGAGCTCGCCAACACAGCTTCACCTACGAGGTTCGCTCGCATAACTTCGCCTGAAGGCCAAGCTCGCCTGTCAACACTTGGAGCTCGCCTACATAGCTCAACCCGCCTGACAGCTTGAAGCTTGCCTGCATGAACTAGGCTCGCCCGAAGGCCAAACTCGCTTGATAGCATTGAAGCTCGCCTATATGAGGTTCGCCTGCACATGCTCGCCTGCACAGCCTCGTTTGCAAGGCTTGCCTGAAGGCCTGACTCGCCTGTATGATCCAGGCTCGCCTAAAGGCCAAGCTCACCTATCAACACTTAGATCTCGCCTACATAGCTCAGCCCGCCTGACAGCTCGAAGCTCGCCTGCATGACCTAAGCTCGCTCGAAGGCCAAACTCGTCTGATAGCATTGAAGCTCGCCTGAATAAGGTTCGCCTGCACAGCTGGACTAAGTCAGCCACTTGAACTTAAAACGTGGGAGTGGGTACACCACTCCCCATGATCTAAAGGATGGAGTATTGTTCTCCTCACCTCTAATGGTCACATCCTAAGATTTAAGGAATGGAGTTATGGTCTCCCTAAGCCACCATCCCACAATTTGAGGAAGTTGCCATGCTTCTCCATTATAAATAGCTAATAATGGTTACCAAAAGAGAGGTTTTGGACTCTTGATCAAGACCAAACCTATTTGGCTTATTGGCAATTGGTTTTCTTAAGCTCTAAGAGAACCGAACTTAGCTCTTTGCAAACTCTTCCATTACAGCCTTCTTGAGATCAAAGTCGGCCTTAATACTCATCAAGCTCGGGTAGTAGAACTCATCCAACCGAGCTTCTACTGCGTACTGAAGCTCAGCCGCAACTTCGATTGGATAGTCCAAGGAAAGCAAACTCGACACGAGCATCGAGGGAGGCGTCCTATCGCTACCGAAGAACCCACGTTAAACAAGAAGAGCATTCCCATCCGTTTCTGTTGTAATCTTTGATTTTCTTGATTTGTAATTGTCATTCAATTAATAAGAAATCAGTCCCATTTTCGGGAGATCAAACTTTTACACCAAACACGTATACAATAAAATTGGGTTATATGTATAGTATAACTAAACATAAAAAATGAATAAATAAAGTTAGATAAGTCTATTATAATTAGGTCATGTGTAGTATGTAATATAACTATAATAAAAAATGAATAAATAAACAATAAGAACGAGCAACTTCTCATATTCATAATCGTGTTCCATTTCTCATTCCCTATTAATCAACTTTAAATAGTTGCATCATTGTACTCAATGCTCATTAGTCCTCTACTAATTACATAACATCTCCGCTATGCACTTTCTCACCTTCTCATGACTCATCTCTTTTTATTCTCTTTATGAAAGCAGCAAAAGTGCCCTCTCAAGAAGATGAAGATGTGGGATTGTGTCATGATAAACAATGATACTTCTAAGAAGGATGTGAAGCAAAAATTTACTGTAATGAAGCAATGCGCCGAGATGCCAATGATCCAACGCCATTCTGCTTTGGTGGGAAGCATGGATTCTACATGCATGATGGATTCAACTTCAGTTGAATGGTACATATTTTAAGACAATTCTATCAATTAGCTTTCTCTTTATTTTGAATCATATTGCATTTTTAATTTTACAGAATAATTCTTCAAGATTTGTTTAAACCTATTTGTGTTAGTTTTTTTACATAATCAAAACATAAACCAGGGAGTCCGCTAAGTGCTAAATGTCCTCGTATGTGAATGTTTATGGTGCTCTCAATATGCAGGATGTTATCCTTTGGTAGTGGGACTATATTGGATTAGTTGGGAAGAGTCAAAAAGAGTCCCGAGATGACACTTTGCGTCCTTTTGGTCCAGTCTTTGGTGTGGAACGAGGTCATCGTGAGTTAGAGAGGATCAATGCTACTGGCCAATTCAAATTGAAGTGGTGCATGTCCTACTTCTAAGATTACACAATGCATGTCATTAGAAATAAGGTCAACTATGTTGTTGACGTGAATTTTGAAGTACACCGTGTGAGCGTATATGGTTGTATATCATGCAAGTCTAAATATACAACTTCAATTCAAGCTTTAGAACAAAGGGATGTTTAGTTACTTCGTGCATTTTAATTGGTGTAGCCTGTTTTGTTCCTTTGTGCTAGCTTTAAAGATTAGATGCATGTAACCCTTGAGTATTTGAACAAGTGAAAAAGTTCAACAGTTGGGTATACCTACTTGTTTTATTATATACAAGTGATGCCCGTGTCTACATGGGTATACCTACTTTTCTTTATTTTATATATTTAAATATTTAATCAATTTGTTTTCTATGAATGTCTTTATTAGTTATGCCAAAAAAATAAGACAAAGTTAGCTCAATGAGTAAGTGCAGATTTTAATTTTAATTTTTTGAAATACAAAATTAGGAGGAGCACATGCTAGATTTTTGAGATGTAGGACCAATAGTAAACCATAGATATTTTTTATACATAAAAGATGTGTATAAGCATTTCTTTTTTTTATCTATTCCGATTAGTGTAGTTCAATTTGTTCTTAAAAGTTTATTTTGCTCTCTAAAAAGCACATCATATTTTCTTTATTTATAATAATTTTCACTTAATTCTCTTATTTATTTATGATTTTTTAGTCTCATCTTAACTTGATAGCTAGGTTACATTGTATTTTATATATTTTTAGGTGTTTGTTTGGATTTTTATGGGGCTATTTGTAATTTATAGATTTTAAAAGGGTTGTTTATAGTTTTCAAATTTTCTAGAGTTATTTATAATTTTTAAATTTTTAGGAGCTCATTTATAATTTTAGAATCTCCATGGTTTTTTATATTTTTTTTGGTTTTTAAGGACTTTTTGTAATTATAGCTTTTTAGGGGCTATATGTAATTTTTTATTTTGTTAAGGATTTGTTTGCATATCTTGATTTTCTATGGGGTTATCTATACTCGATCTCAAATCGATTACTATCATACTTATTCATCATTTAATGATATTTATCATTATAAAACTCATTTATCAATATTAGTCACATATATTTCCAAATTTACGGGGTTTTACGTCTATCATGCAAACGAAACAAAGTAATGTTATCATTTTAGGATTTTTAAAGAATTCAAATCAAGCAATCTAAAACCCCAAATTGAAAGTGATGAGGTGCACAATCACTTTCGATTTGTTGTCATAAATACCCAACTTCCCTACAAATATCCAAAAAGCCCCATAATCCCTCAAATCTACAATAATTCTATATTAGTCCCTGAAGTCTCAATTATTGCTCATTAGTCCCTGAGGATCGGTAATTTGGTCCCACATTAACCAAAATACTCCTTAGTTATGATTTCTTTCTTAAAACTCATTTTGTTAAAAAAAAGTTATTTGTACTTTGGTACTCTAAAGTTTACACATTTTTAACTTTAACACCCTTACTTTTTTTGACACTTTAACACCGTAAATTTTATACATTTTTTAAATTTGATACCTTAAAAATATTCCCTTACACTCTTGAAGTTTATACCTTGTTTACTTTGATACCCAGAGTTTTCTTTTTGACAGTTTAATACCCCAACCTTTAGCGTATCTAAGTTAAAATTTTAGGGTATTAAATTAGTGTCAAAAAAATTTAGGTATCAAAGTTTAAGGTGTAAACTTTAGAGTTCCAGATTGCAAACCCTTCAAAAACATTAGCGGAGGGTATTTTGGTCACTGGGACTAAATTGCAATAACCCTATGATTTGAGGGACTAATGAGCAATTTCATAGATGTGAGGGACTAATATGAACTTATTTAATATTTAAGGGACTACGATCTAAATTACCCCCAATGATAATAATAATAATTGTTTCGGGTTTGAAGCGCTCCTGACTTGAACCTGCTTAAACTCGAATCCTTGTTCTCCTCCTATCTGTAGAAATAATCGAAGATGGAGCGTTAATCACTTCTGATATTGTCGTTTAATTAACTCACCCTACAATTTGCATCTTGGTGAAACAAAAGACTCCATCTATTTGGTCATCTCATCCCTATGTTCTCCTTCTCAGCTTCCGCCTCACGAGCTGCGCACGCCAATTACTCGACGAAATTCCCATGAGAGGCTTACGTCAACTAGACCCATTCAAATTTGGTCATTTATCTCAATTTTCTTTTAAAAATCGTATTTCATCCTTTTTCAGAAATGGGTATTCTTCTTAGTAAAGGTTTATTATGGAACAGATTTTTTTTCCTCGATGAAGTGTCTCCATAATTCGGCCTCAATTGGAATTTTCACGCCGGAACCTCCTTCGAAGAGTTCACAAGTACTCCTTTGCTGCTCTTTCGACAATTCTAGATGACCCGTTGGTCGATTCCATAGAAAAAACTAGCAAAACTTCACAGGTTAACCAGTTCAGCTCTTGCACTATGAGAAGCCCGACCATTTTCCCCTACGTTGCTGTCTCTGTGAAAACTTTGAATCGGGATATTTTCCGTGAGGTGAAATTTACAAATGCGATGGAAATATATGGCCTTTCTCATGCATTAGAGTCATTCTCCATGCTGGTTAGGATTTTCTCGCTGGTGAAAATGCGTGGAGAAGTTAGGCATTTGCTTCTTGATGTGATGGTTTTTGACAATGGATTGTTTTCTGAAGTTGTGAGATTTTCTAGTGGTTTGATTACGCCGTTGAAAGCCTATGGAGATCTGATAAAAGCTCTCGTGGACAATTCAATGATTGAGAATGCGCTAGAATTTAATTTGGAGGCTATGGGAATTGGGCTAGAAATGGGCGTCCCTCTGTGCAATTCTTTGCTCGAGTGTTTCGTCGAGAAAAATAATGTTAGGGTTGTCAGGAGTTTGTTTGAGTATATGAAGGTGCTGAGGCCATCACCAAACATTTACACTACTATGATGAACTTGTACATTAAAGGCAATACACTGGATGTAGAAGAAGCTAACAAGATTCTTGTAGAGATGGAAAATCATGGTGTCAGGCCTAATGCAGTAACATATAGCATGTACCTTTGAGGGCTTTGTAAGATAGGGAAGGCTGAGAGTGCTTGGGAATTTCTTAAGGACTTACAGCATAAAGAACTTGAGTATGATAACTACTATTATAATGCTGTCATTCTTGATTTCTACCGTAAAGGGGAGTTGAACAAAGCATTTACAGGATTGGATGAGATGAAGAAGTGTGGCTTATCACCTGATGTTCATAGCTATAGCATCTTCATCGATGGGTTTTGTAAGGAGGGCAATGTTTCTGAAACTTGGAATCTCTTTGAGGAAATGCATAGAAGAGAATTAATGCCTAATGTGATCACGTATACCTCTCTATTGTGTGGATTCTGTTCAGCATGAGAAATGGAACTTGCAATAAAGTTGTTTCGTGAGTTCAGAGATGTGGGCTATGGGAGAGATCTTATGGCCTATAGCATTCTCATTGACAGATGTTGTCAGCAAATGATCTGGATAGTGCACGTAAGATATGGCATGAAATGATCCAAGACAAGTTCACTCCAGACATTTCTGCCGTACCAGTCTAATTTACAACTATAGCCAAAACCAAAAATTACAGGAAGCTACAGATCAGTTTGAAATCATGCTTAATGATTGTGTGGTGCCCAATGTTGTTACTCGCACCATTATTATTGATGGGTTCTGCAAGGAAGGGCTTATTATAGAAGCTTTTCGGTTCTTAAATGAAATGGAGTAGGGTATCAATCCTAATATATTTACTTACACTACAATCATTGACGCACTATACAAAATTGGAAGTTCTTATGGTGCATGAGAGATTTTTGGAGCTATGATAAAGCGAGCTCTTATTCCTGATGTAGTTCTATATATCATCCTAATCAATGGTTTAGTCAAAACACTGGACTTGGAGAAAGCTCTTATGATCTATGCAATGATGTCTCCAAGGGGTATAGATCCAAACATTTTTACTTATACAAGTCTCATCAATGGGCTATGCAGTGCTGGAATGCTTCCTACAGCTTTGGGCTTATTTGAGGAAATGAAATGGAAGGGATTCAAGCCTGACAGGGTTCTGAATGCTTCCTACAGCTTTGGGCTTATTTGAGGAAATGAAATGGAAGGGATTCAAGCCTGACAGGGTTCTTTATTCTACGATGATTTCATGTTGCATTTGAGGAAATGAAATGGAAGGGATTCAAGCCTGACAGGGTTCTTTATTCTACGATGATTTCATGTTGTTGCAGATGCGAGGATATGAAGAAAGCTCTGGAATTTGTCAATTCAATGAGAAACAGTAACTTAAGATGAGAATTTAAAAAAAAAAGAATAATCATGCAAGAAAATCTTAAAATGCTCTTGGAAGAAAACAAAGCATAAACCTAAAACAAATTATTTTAACTTTAAACAAGCGAGGGTTACCATCTTATAAAGGCCATTCTTGTTTATATATCCCCATGTAAATTGATTTCTACTAGCCTAGTTGCATCTAAACAGTTAGTATTGTAATATATCTCCATTCTTGTTTATATATCTCCATTCTTGTTTATATTCTCTTCTATGCATTTCCTCAAAGAGATTCCAAGCTTCAGAAATATTGCCCTCTATTCTTGGATTTGAGTGCAAATTAGTATCATCTGATTCCAAGCATATATGCTAAGGTGGTTTAATTGTTAGTATTTTCCAACTATTGATGTAAAGATTCGAGAAGCTGTGTCAGCATACATTTATGCAACTCAAAGGTCTTCTCAGAGTCACTCATCTTACGATATCCATATATAAGAGTTGTATAATTTATTGCCTCAGGAGTGAATCCTACTATAATCATTTTAGCCAGCAGCAATTCTGCAACGCTCATCACTGACAACTTGCTACATCTCTCTATTAAACAAGTATACATATACACATCTGGTAGTAAACCATTTTAGCCTTCTTGGTCGATGATTTCATGTTGCTGCAGATGCGAGGATATGAAGAAAGCTCTGGAATTTGTCAATTCAATGGAGACAGATGGGTTCGAACCTAATGGCATTATGTACAGTTCGATAATTGCAGGCTATTGTAGGTCCAACAATATGGAGATTGTTTTAAAACTGTTCTATAAATTGGAGAGACAGAAATTCAGACTTGACAGAAGTATGCATACTTCAATAATTGCTACTTATTGTAGGTGCAATGATATTAAGAAGGCTGTACGATTGTTCAATAGAATGGTGAAAAGTGGTTTACTACCAGAAAATCTTAAATAAGAGGCTGGAACATTAAAAAAATTTTAAAAATTTCTGTACACGGAACACTAACAGCAGTAAAGCAGCCGCAGAAATATGTTCCATCGAGAAACAGTAAATTAAGATGAGATTTTAAAAAAAAAAGAATAATCATGCAAGAAAATCTTAAAATGCTCTTGGAAGATAACAAAGTATAAACTTAAAGCAAATTATTTAACTTTAAACAAGCAAGGGTTACCATCTTATAAAGGCCATTCTTGTTTATATATCTCCACATAAATTGATTTCCACTAGCCTAGTTGCACATAAACAGTTAGTATTGCAATATATTATATTAAAATCGAATTTTGATTTTCAACAAAAATTAAGACAGATTATATTTTCACCTTCATGACATTATAAAAATAGAAATAAGCAGTATCTCTCATAATGTGGGTAGTCACCTGTAAATTGTCAAAAAAAGGTACATTTCATTGATGTAAACTTTGCTTGCCGTAGTGAACCAGTTGGATTCGAGTGCAAATTAGTATCATCTGATTCCAGGCATATATGCTAAGGTGGTTTAATTATTGGTATTTTCTAGCCAACTGATGTAAAGATTCAGGAAGCTGCGTAAGCATACATTTATGCAACTCAAATGCCTTCTCAGAGTCACTCATCTTACGATATCCATATATAAGAGTTGTATAATTTATTACCTCAGGAGTGAATCCTACTATAATCATTTTAACCAGCAGCAACTCTTCAACGCTCATCACTGACAACTTGCTACATCTCTCCATTAAACAAGTATACATATACACATCAGGTAGTAAACCACTTTTGACCATTCTATTGAACAATTGTACAACATTCTTAATATCATTGCACCTACAATAAGTAGCAATTATTGAAGTATGCATATTTCTGTCAAGTCTAAATTTTTGTCTCCAGTTTATAGAACAGTTCTAAAGCAATCTTCATATTGTTAGACCTGCAATAACCTACAATTATCAAACTGTACACAATACCATCAGGTTCAAACCCATCTATCTCTATTGAATTGACAAATTCCAGAGATTTCTTCATATCCTTGCATCTACAGCAACATAAAATCATCGTAGAATAAAGAACCTTGTCAGGCTTGAATCCCTTCCATTTCATTTCCTCAAATAAGCCCAAAGTTGTAGGAAGCATTCCAGCACTGCATAGCCCATTGATGAGACTTGTATAAGTAAAAATATTTGGATCTATACCCCTTTGAGACATCATTGCATAGATCATAAGAGCTTTCTCCAAGTCCAGTGTTTTGACTAAACCATTGATTAGGATGGTATATAGAACTACATCAGGAATAAGAGCTCGCTTTATCATAACTCCAAAAATCTCCCATACACCACAAGAACTTCCAATTTTGTATAGTGCATCAATGATTGTAATGTAAGTAAATATATTAGGATTGAGACCCTGCTCCATTTCATTTAAGAACCGAAAAGCTTCTATAATAAGCCCTTCCTTGCAGAACCCATCAATAATAATGGTGTAAGTAACAACATTAGGCACAACACCATCATTAAACATGATTTCAAACTGATCTGTAGCTTCCTGTAATTTTTGGTTTTGGCTATAGTTGTAAATTAGATTGGTATGGCAGAAAATGTCTAGAGTGAACTTTTCATGGATCATTTCATGCCATAGCTCACGTGCACCATCCAGATCACCATGCTGACAACATCCGTCAATAAGAATGTTATAGGCCATAAGATCTCTCCCATAGCCCTCATCTCTGAACTCACGAAACAACTTTATTGTAATTTCCATTTCTCCAGGTATACGTGATCACGTTAGGCATTAATTCTCTTCTATGCATTTCCTCAAAGAGATTCCAAGCTTCAGAAACATTGCCCTCCTTACAAAACCCATCGACCAAGATGTTATAGCTATGAACATCAGGTGATATGCCACACTTCTTCATCTCATCCAATACTGTAAATGCTTTGTTCAACTCCCTTTTACGGTAGAAACCTAGAATGACAGCATTACAACAGTAGTTATCATACTCAAGTCCTCTATGCTGCAAGTCCTTAAGAAATTCCCAAGCACTCTCAGCCTTCCCTATCTTACAATGCCCTCGAAGGTACATGCTATATGTTATTGCATTAGGTCTGACACTATGATTTCCCATCTCTACAAGAATCTTATTAGCTTCATCTACATCCAGTGTATTGCCTTTAGTGTACAAGTCCATCATAGTAGTATAAGTGTAAATGTTTGGTGATGACCTCAGCACCTTCATATACTCATACAAACTCCTGACAACCCCAACATTATTCCTCTCGACGAAACACTTGAGCAAATAATTGCACAGAGGGACGCTCATTTCAAGCCCAATTCCCATAGCCTCCAAACAAAATTCTAGCGCATCCTCAATCATTGAATTGTCCACGAGAGCTTTTATCAGATCTCCATAGGCTTGCAACGGCGTAATCAAACTACTAGAAAATCTCACAACTTCAGAAAGCAATCCCTTGTCAAAAACCATCACATCAAGAAGCAAATGCCTAACTTCTCCACGCATTTTCACCAGCGAGGAAATCCCAACCAGCATTGAGAATGACTCTAATGCATGAGAAAGGCCATATATTTCCACCGCATTTGCAAATTTCGTCTCACGGAAAATATCATGATTCAAAGTTTTCACAGAGACAGCAATGTAAGGGAAAAGGGTCGGGTTTCTCACAGTGCAAGAGCTGAACTGGTTAACCTGTGAAGTTTTGCTAGTTCTCTCTACGGAATCGACCAACGGGTCATCTTGAATTGTCGAAAGAGCAGCAGAGGAGGACTTGTGAACTCTTCGAATGAGGCTCCGGCGTGAAAATCCTAATTGAGGCCGAATCATGGAGATGCTTAATCGAGGAAAAAAAATCTGTTCCATAATAAACATTTACTAAGAAGAATACCTATTTTAAAGGATGAAATACGATTTTTAAAAGAAAATTGAGATAAATGACCAAATTTGAAGTTGAGACTTCCAAAAACTATACAAATGCATTGAGTATTTTTCTGTTACTAACCTCTGTAATCCTTGTTAGGAACATCCAGATAAGAATCAGGTAACACCCAAAGAACACCAGGTAATCCTGCCAGATTAAACAAATTGCGCATGTTTACCATAATAAAATTCATATATAAGCAACATAAATTTAAATGATCATATATAAACTAAACAGCTTTAGGACAAAATTTAAGAACAACTTTAGGACAAAATTTAAGCAGAAAGCTGCGAGTGAAGAATGTAACTATATGACAAAAATGAGTATGATTATAATTGGCACAATAATGCTTCTTTGTATAGATGGGTGATATTTTCCTTACTTTATACTCGGAGCGTCAAGATGAGGCTGAGCGGGAGGCGGAGGCGGAGTGGGATGCGTAGGCGGAGAGGGACGCTCTTGCACCAGCTTAAGATGTGGAGAAGAACCAGCCAGCCAGGTTCAGAGAGCGAAAAATCTGAGATGTAAACCCTAAGCCGACGGGAAATCTGAGATCCAAAAAATCTGAGATCTAGTAGGCGCGGCGTTGGAGCGGGACGCTGCGGAGGAGGCGAAGCGGGACTTGGCGTCAGCTTGGAGGCGGAGGCGGAGGCGGAGGCGGAGAGCGAGGGAGAGGCGCAGGGTCGCCAGAGTAGGAGGCGGCTCTTGGAGGTGGACTGGTGGAGATGGTGGGATTTGGAGAGAGGAATTAGGGTTTGAGTTGATATTGGGTCGGATGCGGATAACATGAGTATATGTTAACCCCGACCCAATACAAGTGTTATATATGGCTATTTCAAATATCCGGGATATCTGGATCGTATCCGCAATTTTGATCTGATAATCTTATCCGAAACCGTATCCGGATAAAAAAACAAAACCGTAACCGTTTAGAAACCGTATCCGACCGGTTTTAATTTTTTCTTACCATATCCGCTTTCTAAATGGATACGGTTGCGGTCGGTCCGGATAAATCCGGACTTATTGTTTATTTTTAGACATTTAGAGTGTATTTCATTTTGTAAAGGCTGAGTGCCTTAGTACTATTCCATTTGACTCTATATATTTAGATATTCCCCAGTATTCTATTTTATTCAGTTGGAACACGATTTTGATTATCTGGATATCACTTCTCTACATCATGTTCATTGCATTATTATTTTTATTTGTCTGTTTTGTACCTACACTTATTATTTGATTCCGCTAGAGATATTACTGTGATGGTAAAATGTGTTATTGCACAGTGTGGGTGCATGGCAGGTTTGACCTCCTTGGGTTCACCTTAGACTGCAGTTTTGTGTGAAACCAGTGGCGTCACAATAGATTCTTGGAAAGTTATAGCTATGTGAACCCCATACAAAAAGAGCATATTACCATAACAAGGTTATCTTTAACTCCATTGATAGTATTTTTATATGATCTTTTGCATTTAAATATCTCAAAGTTACTTTGTTTTTAACATTGATACACCAATGTTTTCTT